CAATATTTATGCGTTCCATTTCTTTCTTAACAATTTCTAATTTTCCTTCATTCATGGCTCTCACATTCCATGTACCAATCACTAGGGTCTGCTTACAACTGTTCCTCCTCCTTTGTGTTTCCATACTTGATAGTTCTACCTAGGTTGCCCTTTTTGTAAAATGAAAATGAAGGGATGGGGGAAGGAAACTTAAAAACAAAGCATGTGACTGGGACTTGGGACATAAACTGACTTCTTATTCAAAAGGTGCTATTTGTTGTTAAGTGCAACTGTGAAGAGTGTAACTTACAGTGACCCTATGTACAACAGATCTGAACCCTGTCCTATCCTTGGCCATCCATGGCATCTTATTTGACCACCCTTTTGTGAATTCCTAAGTACAATAAATCTACTAATAAACAGCATTTTCTCCACATCAAAAACTTTACTCCACTGAAGCTTTTGATCAAGGCACCGAAGCAACAAAAGTCTCAGAAAAAAAATGCATGTCTTCTGCAACCTTTAAATCTTAACTATTCCTCACGTTTCCATAATTATATTTACTATCAAATCATTTAAACTTTTAGGTTATGTATAGAAAAAACTAATAAAGTTCACAATATTCTGTTTTAAATACTATTGGTACAAAAGTACTTCCTTCTCTGAAAGCAAGAATATCCCCTACTTACTTCACACATTATTTAATATTAATTGTGATCTACTTAAAACACCATCCAGCTTTTCTACACAAGAATAAAACAGAGACATACAAACTTATAACAATGATTTAGTAAGAGGTCAATAATAGCTCTTAAGAATGCGCTTATCTTTACAAAATGTTAATGAACAAAAAGTTCATTGTCCAAATTAAAAGATAAAACAATGAAAATCCACAAAGACTTCTGCTCTTTCTTGTAGCAGAAGGAGCAATCAGAAGTCCATTAAGTATTCTAAAGTTAAATTCCTACTTTAAAAGTTCACAAATAGCTTACAAATACTTAATATTTCTAAACAGCTATTTGTGCATACATATAAAATACCTAGGCCACTGGTGGCCTAGTGGCAAGAAGGTGCACTGAAATCCTGAAGGTGCACAGTTTGAATCCACCGGATGTTCCGCTGGAGAAGGAAGGGCAAACTTCCTGTGCCAGTCGGATCAAATTTGACAGTACACGAAATTATAAAGAAACAAAATAAAATTTTAAAAAATCTAGTGGTTTAAAAGCACAATATTTACAAGGAACAGAAATTTCTGTTCTTCTGTATTTTACTAATGAATAACTTTCTCAAATGAAAAGTTAGCTACTTGAAAAACATTTTAGTTCTATTTCAATTTAAAAAAAATCAGCAAGAGAAAAATGTGACAATCTACTTTTATAAAAATTTACAACCTTGGAACTCCTGTGGGACAGATCTACTCTGCCCTTTAAGGGCATTGACTCAACAGCAATCTTTTTGGTTTGGCTGGGTTACAAGACTCAAGACAAGAAAAAGTAGCATTTAACCATTCATTTCAAATACAGACTAAACTGATAATTCAACTTAATAGCATGAACAGGCAACATCTATTAATAGGAGAAGTCTTTCAAATTTATGTATTTTTAGAGTTAACCATAACTTTTTTACTTTCTTCTTTACTGACTTAAAATTTTTACAAAAAGTAGGACAACCATACAAATTTCAAACTTAGTATTTTAAAAATTTTATTTCATATCAGTTATATACTAGTAATCACCAAGTTATAAACACTATCTGTTCCTAACTATGTCTTTGAGATTTGTGCATCAGTCTGAACAAGTACATAATGGTTCTCATTTAGTCATATTTTAGGGCAAGAAAGACTGGAAGACTGGCTATTCAATGACTTAAAAGCCTCACATGCTGCAAAGAAGGTGGCTAAGAAGAATAATTTGCTGAAAATGGGAGGTGGGAGTTAAATGAAGGCAAAGTTACATAATATTTAAGGGTAAACTCAAGTTGTCCTTAATCTGTATTCACAACCCTGGGGAAACTTACTGTGTTCAGAAAGGCATAGAAAAATGCTAGCCATCTCCCTCATTACATAAAAGAGCATATTATGTGAAATTTCCTGATCTGAAAGGAATACAATAAAGCTCACAAAAGCCAACCTGTGTAAAGTAGAAGCCTTTCACAAAAGGAAAAGTAAACGGCACAGTCTGTAGGGAGTTGTACTGCTAGCCCAGAGACCATGCCTTCTTGGCAGATGGAATGCACCAGAGGCTCTCTGGGACAAAGAAGTGCAATCTCCTCTCTTCGGATTTACAGCCTCAAAAATCCAATGGAGGGTCATCAATGAATCAGTTCTGATTTGCCAATGAATTTGAAACCAAATAATAAAAAATAAGAATTCAAGAACCCCCAAACCAAGACAATCTCTGAGTACTGGTTCTCATAGGTTTCACTGTATAAATTTAAAAGGCATCTTGGGAAATAATATATGAACTCTTTAAGAGTCTGACATTTATGATAAGCACTTTACATATATAGCTCACTATTAATTATCCTCCAAAATATGGTGGCCAACCAAAGTTCTCCTTGGAGGCGAGGATGATGAAGCTTCATCTTCCTTATTTTGGGCACGAAGCTAGGTGAGGCTATTCCTTGGAAAGAGACATCTTGCTTTGGAAAGATGGAAGGTTAGCAAAGGAGTAGAAGACTTCCAATGAGATGGACTGACACTGTGACTTCAGCTTTGGGTTCTAGTGTCTCAGAGATGTTGAGGACGGCACAGGATAGGGCAAGTTTCAGACTGGCCGTTCATAGGGTAGTTATACTCAACTCAATGGCGCTTAACAACAACAACAGTGGTAAGAAGCTGCACTGCAATCCCAAAGGTATGTGGTTCAAATCTACCAGCTGCTTCTCAGAAGAAGGATGGGCAATCTCCTTCTATCTGATGTACTCTGTCTGAAAACCCAATGAGGGTCAGCTATATTTGAGCTCTGACTCAACCAACAGGCCACAACCACCACTACAATAAATTAATGACTTTTAACATTAGTTTATTAAGGTTATCATCTCTTGAATTCTAAGCCTTTAAATATCCTGTTCCACTTTTACACATTTTGCATTTTTTGCAATTTGATTTAATTGAGTAACCGAAATATATACAAAAACACATCCACACCAAAGTTATTTCACTTTAGAATAGGCAAATAAGCCAAAACCAGTATCTAGCTGAATACAAAGCTTTATAAATTACTATGTATAAAGAGAAAAATCTTGGGGAATAGAACTTACCTTAGAAAAATAACACCCATATAATGGAAGCCACTTTAATCCATCTTTTAGCACATAGCGCACATGCCCGAGAGCATTCTGCCTGATGGCCAGGATGTCAGCAACAATCCAGTCGACTGTGAATGCAGAGCCAACAGAAATGACCTTCACAAGAACACCAAGCTTTTCCACAGTACTGGATTAGGCATGTAATTTTACAACAGTTAGAATGTTAAAAAGTTCTTTCAGATCAACTCAAGGTACTTAAAAAATTATATTTGCACTTCTTAAAGAGCTTTTTATTATTAAAAGATTACTTAGAAGACATGAGGATGCCTCCATTTTAAAAGAAAAAGGGGGAAAAAGAAAAAGTCCAACTGAAACTTTCAAACACAACTAAACAATTTGTATATGTAAATACATTCAATAAAAGGCAACAGCATTTTTACCTTTACTAATCAGCTATAGGGGAGCTCTAGTGGCCTAGTGGCAGGCAAGTTGCTGTGCCGCAGTCATGAAGATATGTGGTTCAAGGTCATCAACCGCCCTGTGGGAAAACGATGGGCAATCTCTTCCCATTTGATCAACTGCTTCTGAAAACCCACTGGAAGGTCAGCTATGGGTTGGTTCTGACTCACCAACAACAGCAACAACAATATCAATCAGTTTTAAGGGAACTGTGATGGCAAAATTCATAGTAGGTGCACTGCTAGCTGCTAGCAGAGGAAGACAGGTAATCTGCGCAATTTATAGTCTCCAAAAAGCACTCAATGAGTTGGGCTGAGTTTTTAATCAGTTTTAAGACACAACATTAGGATGTACCAGCATTCAAACAGAAGTCCCAAAAAGCTTACCAAAAAAAAAAAAAAAGCTTACAACTGTGCTAGGCAGATTCTGTGTTCATCACATAGTCAAAGAAAAAATGGGCTACTAGTAATTACCAGGACAGAACAGGGTTCAAATGCATTGTTCATACAGTCTCTTGAGTCTTAGTTGATGCTATGATATTTAACAACATGCAAGCAAGATTTTACTGAAGATTATCCAAAAACAACTGGAACAGCACATCAACAGAGAACTACCAGAAGTCCAGGCTGGATTTAGAAGGGGTCGTGGTACTAGAGATATTGTAGCTGATGTTAGATGGATCTTGGCTGAAAACAGGGAACACCAGAGGAATGT